CACAAAAAAAGAAAATTGCAGACCAATATCCCTCATGAACATTGATGAAAAACTCCTCAACAAAATTCTAGAATTCAGCAACATATCAAAAAAATAATTCACCACGATTAAGTGGGATTTATACCAGCTATGCAGGAGTGGTTCAACATTACAAAAGCAATCAATGTAATCCATCACATTAATAAAACAAGACAAGAACCACATGATCTTATCAATCGATGCAGAAAAGGCATTTGACAAAGTCCAACACCCATTCATGATAAAAACTCTCAGCAAAATAGGAATAGAAGTGAAATTCATCAATATAATTAAGGGCGTTAATACAAAGCCAACAGCCAACATCATCCTAAATGGAGAGACTTTGAAAGCATTCCCCTTTAGAACGGGAACGAGACAAGGATGCCCTTTATTATCACTCTTATTCAACATTGTGCTGGAGGTCCTAGCCAGAGCAGTTAGGCTAGAAAAAGAAATAAAGGGCATCCAGATCGGTAGGGAAGAAGTCAAAGTATCTCTATTTGCAGATGATATGATCTTATAAACAGAAAACCCCATAGAATCCACAAGAAAACTACTGGAACTAATAGCTACATAATAGATACAAAAGATACATAGACCAATGGAACAGAATTGAGAATCCAGACAGAAATTCATCCACATATGAGCAGCTGATATTTGACAAAGTCCCAAAGTCCGTTAATTGGGGAAAAGATAGTCTCTTTAACAAATGGTGCTGGCATAACTGGATTTCTATCAGCAAAAAACTGAAACAAGACCCATACCTCACACCATGCACAAAAACTAACTCAAAATGGATCCAAGACTTAAATATAAAATCTAAAACAATAAAGATCATGGAATAAAAAACAGGGACAATGCTAGGAGCCCTAATACATGGCATATACACAGTATGAACCATAAGTAATAACCCTCCTTAAAATCAAACACTTATGCTCATCCAAAGACTTCACTAAAAGAGTAAAAAGACAACCTACAGACTGGGAAAAAAAAATTTTGGCTATGACAAATCTGATCAGCATCTAATCTCTAAAATCAACAAGATACTGCAAAACCTGAACACCAAAAAAACAAATAACCAAATTAAAAAATGAGCAAAGGATATGAACAGGCACTTCGCCAAAGAAAATATTCAGGCGGCTAACAGACACATGAAGAAATGTTCACAATACTTAGCCATTAAAGAAATGCAGATCAAAACTACAATGAGTTATCATCTCACCCCAACGAGGCTAGCATTAATCCATAAAAGCACAAAATAATAAATGCTGGAGAGGTTGTAGAGAGACTGGAACACTTATACACTGTTGGTGGGAATGTAAAATGGTACAACCACTTGGAAATCAATTTGGCACTTCCTTAAAAAGCTAGAAATAGAAGTACCATACGATTCAGCTATCCCGCTCCTTGAAATATATCCTAGAGAAATAAGAGCTTTCACACAAATAGATATATCCACACCCGTGTTCATTGCAGCACTGTTCACAATAGTAAAAAGATGTAAACAACCTAGGTGCCCATCAGTGGACGAATGGATAAACGATTTATGGTATAGCCACACAATGGAATACTATGCAACAATAAAGAACAACGATGAAGCTATGAAACATCTTATAACATGGAGGAAGCTGGAGGTCATTAGGCTGAGTGAATTCAGTCAGTCACAGAAGGACAAATACTGTATAAGACCACTATTATAAGAACTCAGTAAAAGGTTTAAACACAGAAGAAAATATTCTTTGATGGTTACAAGGGTGGGGAGGCAGGGTGAGGGTTATTTGCTAACTAGATAGTAGGTAAGAATTATCTTAGGTGAAGGGAAGGACAGCACTCACTACACGGGAAGTCAGCACAACTGGACTAAACCAAAGCTAAGAAGTTTTCTGAATGTAATCAAACACTTTGAGGGACACAGTAGCAGGGGTAGGGGCCTGGGGACCATGCTTTCAGGGGACATCTAGGTCACTTGGCATAACAAAGCTTATTAAGAAAATATTCTGCATCCTACTTCGGTGAGTGGTGTCTGAGGTCTTAAAAGCTTGCAAGCAGCCATCTAAGATGCATCAACTGGTCCCAACCACCTAGAGTAAAGGAGAATGAAGAACACCAAAGACACAAGGAAAGTATTAGCCCAAGAGACATAAAGGGCCACATAAACCAGAGACTGCATCAGCCTGAGACTAGAAGAACTAGATGGTGCCCGGCTACCACCAATGACCGCCCTGACAGGGAACACAACAGAGAGTCCCGGATGGAGCAGGTGAAAGCTGGGGTGCAGAGCTCAAATTCTAGTAAGAAGACTAGACTTAATTGTCTGACTGAGACTGTATGAACCCTGGAAAGCGTGACCCCTGGACTGTCAACCCAGAACTAAAACCATTCCCGAGGCCAACTCTTCAGACAAAGATTAGACTGGACTATGGGACATAAAATGATACTTGTGAAGAGTATGCTTCTTGGCTCAAGTAGATCCATGAGACTAAATGAGCAGGTCCTGTCCGGGGGTGAGATGAGAAGGCAGAGAGGGACAGGAGCTGGTTGAATGGATGCGGGAAATCTGGGGTGGAAAGGAGGAGTGTGCTGTCACAGTATAGGGAGAGCAGTTAGGGTTGCATAACTATGTTTGTATAAATTTTAATATGAGAAACTGAGTTGAACTGTAAACTTAAAGCACAATTAAAAAAAAAAAAACTTACTCCTGCTAAATCTAGCTTTTCCATATCCCCCGTACAAACTCATTCTTCTCCTGATTGCATACCACATTACTCATATTGCTCCCTTCACATCACATGGAATATTGTTTTCTAATATTTGAATGTCCAAAACTTCCCATTATTCTAAAGCCATTTCAATTCCATACCCCAGAGACATCTCCCCCAATCCCTTCCATCTTCTCCTTAGCTGCTAGAGTGTTTTATTATTATCTCTCTAAAGGCATTTATTATTGTCTACTTTTTAAAAAGTTATTTATGAACAAGTCTTAATTCTGACTGTGCCTGTTTTCATAATTGTAATGTTCTGCTATGTCTAGTTGAGTTCTCAAATGTTTCTCAAATGTTCTCTTCTTCCTCTTGATGGTTCCTTCTTTGTTTTTGTCTCCCTACTCTCTTTTCTCTAGTCAGAAAGCAATCCCTTGGGTTCCTAATTCTGAACCCCCTTCTGTTTGATCTCTTCTCTTTTATTCATTTGGGTTCAAACTCCTCTCTGAAAATAGCCCTGAATCTGTGTATTTAGCCTCCATTTCCTTCCTGAGTGTTGGTGGAGCATGTCTATTGCGGTTATATCTTCATTTATATGTTTAGCTGACAACTCGAAAGAATAATATTCCAAATTGACCTTGCTGCCATCTCTACCTTCCAAAAGGCTCCTCTTGTTCTCGGAACCGTCCCCCACCCCCCAAATGCAAAGTTTAAATCTCAGGTACTCTTTATGCTTCTCCTCTCTATGTGCAAGACCTGCCAAGTCCTAGAGATTGGATCTCAGTGTTTCTCAGCTATGCTGTCCGCCTCCTCCCTTTCTAGATTGGGTCTTAATTGCGTCTCACAAGATGTTTGTAATACATCCTTACTGACCAGTTTTCCTGCCCACTCTAATTTGTCCAACACGGTAAGACCCATCAATTCTCCTAAAATTATGGTTGATTATGGCATTCACTTGCTGGAAGTACTTGAATGCTTCCTTTAGTTCTTTGTGACTTATTTCCAAAATCTCGAGGCCCTTTGCCATCTTGTCCCAGATGGTTTTTGTCATTTTTATCCTGATATTCTCTTTCAGAGACCCTATGTTGCAGCCAAACTGAAACAGAAACTCTTCCTCAGACATGGCTGTGCTTTAGCATTATTTTATGCAGTTCACACTCTCTGGAATGCCCTATTCCCAAGCATTTTGGTCTAGGTCCTAGCCATCCTTGATATATGATGCCGTTCTCAATCTTACCATCAACCCTTCTCCACATCTTGTATGTCCTAAGGGGCCCTGGGTTACTCGATTTTGTTACTGTAGTTGTCTTATCAACTTAGTAGAGTATGAGCTCTTTGGAACCAAAGACTTCAAAGTGTGGTGAGGTGAGAAGTCAGAAAAAACTAGGGTAAAAAACTGACATGTGCCATTTACCTGCTGAGTGGATTTGTTTAAGTTATACAAAGTTAAACAATCTCTGAATGACCATTTCCTCTTCTATAAAATGAAAATGATAATTCAAAATTTGTAGGCTTCTGGGAAGACTAAATTAACTGATGTATATAAGGTGTTCGATGACTTTATGGACTAGTTACACCACAATGTTAGTACCCTTCTACCTTATTCATCTTTGTGTCGTCTGTGGATTTAACCCAGTCCTTGGCACACAGTAGATGCTTAATAAATGCTTCCTAGATTGAATTTTGTTTGTTGAATTGAAACATAGAAGGTCAAGGATGGGAATTCCATCCCTGTCCGTACCAGTTAGCCTCATTTTAATGAAAAGCTTCTATTTCATGGTCAAAAATTCTAGTATCAATCTGTTTCATTATAGCTGTGCATTTTGGGTCCTGGTTAAACCACAATAGCTTAGGGGTTATTGTGTAAGTGTGTTATATGTGTAAGTAAGTGTGTATGTGAGAATGGCCCAGGGAAAACCCACCACAGCTACCTTGGGACAAGGCAAATGAATTTTAAATATTTAAATACTTATATCCCTACCGTTAACCAGCACACTGCATTTCTTATTGCCAGAGGGTTGATAACATCATCTTTACATTTACTCAGTGAAAAATCAATTGAGCCAACATTGGTCTATTTGCTACACAGAAAAAAAGAAGGCCAGAAAAGCAACTAACAATAAAGTGTTCTCAGATGGTGCATTATGAAATACTGAATGTAAGAACTATAGAGAGTATGCTTGGAGTGCTCCATTTGCCTTTTCAGAAGTCTAACACGTGATTGAAGTAACATTTACGTTTGTGATGTTTTTAACTTCTTTTTTCTTTTATCAAAATCTCCAGAGCCACTGAAAGCTTCCATCAGCCCCAGGAAGGTCAAAAGCAGCGTGGGTAGCCAGGTGTCCTTGTCCTGCAGCGTGACAGGAACTGAGGACCAGGAGCTCTCCTGGTACCGAAATGGTGAAATCCTCAATCCTGGAAAAAATGTGAGGATCACAGGGATCAACCATGAAAACCTTATAATGGATCACATGGTCAAAAGTGACGGGGGCGCATACCAGTGCTTTGTTCGCAAGGACAAGCTGTCTGCTCAAGACTATGTGCAGGTGGTACTCGAAGGTCAGTGGGCCTCATTATAGTGTACAGCTCAAAAGGAGCCAAACCCAGAGCACTGAAACCAGAAGAATAGAGGGTGGAGCAGTGCTGATGACTCCAAATTTTAAGATTTCTGTTGATCTGAGGCAGCTCATGAGTCTACCCTGTGTTCTAGCTAAATCAGACAAATGAAAGAGCAACTTCTGATGAGAACAAAATTGTATTTTAGAAGTCACATGCATTTAAGTAGCAGAAACGGTACCCACTCATGTGTGAAAGTTACTTGTCAAGATATAAACCCAAGAAATTTGAAATTTATACTTATGTTGACAATTCATTATCCTCTAGACCAGAGTTTCTCAATATCCTGTTTGGGGAACTGTCTTACATATTATAGGATGTGGATTCTACCTACTAGATTCTGGTAGACCCCTCCCCAAAATTGTGATAACAAAAAATGACTCCAGACATTGCCATTGCCAAATGTCCCCTGGGTGGGGACAGGGCCAAAGTAATCCTTTGTTGGGAATCACTGCTTAAGAGGCAAAGTGCAGAGAGGAATTTTACTATAATGCCTAGTGGAGTGAGAAAAATGTTATCTGGTTAGTATAGTTGTCCATGGTTGAGTCCAAACATTCACAAATCTAGGTGAATAGCATTTGTGAGGAATTACTTTGGGGTTTTGGCTACTGGGGCAAAGATATGCTGTACATGTTGTCTTTCTTACCTGGATACTGCATAGTAACATCTTCAAGCTTATCAATCAGCCAGGGATATAACCTGCCAAGGGTAACGTGCATATGAAACATATGTTTATCACTAGACAGTTGAACTAGCATTTATCTGTATGCTTGTGTGTCTGGTTGGAAATTGTATCTTTATATATAATTTAAAATGTGTCTGTTACCAATATCTTAATATAATGAAATGACTTTCATATAACCTAAAGGGGAAAAAATCCATTTATATATGAAAGTAGGTTTAACTATGTCTTAATGCTAAGACGATATTTCTGCTATTGCTTCTTTAACCATCAGAATCCACTCGAGGGCAACGGGTTTTGTTTTGTTTTGTTTTTGTTTTTTTTTTTCAGTTGTTAAGAAGAATGAGCCTTAGCAATAAGATTCTTAGTTTTAGTGAAGAAAATCACTGCAGAGAGTGAATTTTTAGACAGGGCTTCAAACCTGTTCCTTCCAGTTCAAACCTCTGCTGAGAATTTGTATTTCTAACAATTTCCCAGGTGACGATAATGCTGCTAGTTAGGGACCAGTTCTGAGAACCACTAGTAGAGCAGTAGTTCTCAATATTTATTATACATAAGAATCACCTGGAGGTCTTGTTAAACTGTAGGTTCTGATTCAGTATATCTGGAGCAGAAATGCAAATTCTCAGCAGGGCTTTGAACTAGAACGAACCGGTTTGAAGCCCTGTTTTTAAAGCAGAGGTGAAATTAGTTGAAGGCATGGTGCCCATATTAAACACCTGAGACTTGTTCCACATAATAATAAAGTGCAGAAAGTAACCAATTTGTATAGAGCCAGTCTGCTAATGATGATGCACTGTGGTCCTTACATAGCCACCATTTTGGGGCTTTTTGTGTAAAAGGGAGAGATTACCTGTCTAGGCCTTGTTACCTTGGCAACCATCTTGTGTGACTAAGAAAACCTAAAGAGCATATTGATAATCCATAATGATGTCGAAAGAGTTCAGGTTATCAGAGAGTGACAGCAAGAAAGATTTCAAAGACACCAAAGTCTCACTGGGAAAATAATGTCTACTTTCATCTCTAAAAAAGCCTGTCACTTGAATAAAAAAGGGGGCAGAGGAGCATACTGAGCATACCCACGGATTTATTTGTCACATGTCAGTTTCCATTCAGCACAAGGAGCTTCACTTTATTTTTTCTCTTCTGAGAGATGACAGTGCTAACGTAGCAAAATAGACCAGAAATGGAATTGGAAATACATATCTCGTACTTGATTTAAAGTGGTGTCTAACTACTATCTTCTGACAAAACTCCCATTATTCCTACTGAAATAGCTATGGATTAACATAAAATTATAAAAACTTACAATAGTATGAACTACGAATGACCACCGACATAGTGCAGAATCAAACAATATTTCTTATAAGGCTAAAAGAACTGGAATGGCAATATTAAAAAAAAAAAACTAGAATCTAATAATCATTGGTTCAAGATGAAACCAAAATAACTGGAAAATGGGAAAAAAAATAACAGTTTCCATTTCTGGAAATGGTGGAATAACATGTTTTAGATGAACTCCCAAGTGATAGAAACTATGAACTTTGGAAAAGGCAAAACTAAATGTAGACATTGGAGAGACACTGAAAGCAGGCACAAAAGATTTGACCCTTGAAAGAAAATGTCTTAGTCATCTAGTGCTGCTATAACAGAAATATCACAAGTGGATGACTTTAACAAAGAAAAGTTTATTCTCTCACAGTCCAGTAGGCTGCAAGTCCAAATTCAGGGCACCAGCTCCAGGAAGCCTTTCTCTCTCTGTTGGCTCTGGTGGAAGGTCCTTGTCATCAGTCTTCCCTTGGTCTGGGAGCATCTCAGTGCAGGAAACTCAGGTCCAAAGGAAGCGCTCTGCTCCCGGCACTGTTTTCTTGGTGGTATGAGGTTCCCTGTCTCTCTGCTTGCTTCTCTCTTTTATGTCTTAAAAGAGATTGGCTTAAGACAATATCCAATCTTGTAGATCTCATCAATATAACCACCACTAATCCATCTCACTGCATCATAGTGATAGGATTTATGAGAGATCGGGAAATCACATCAGATAACAAAATGGTAGACAGTCATACAATACCAGGAATCATGACCCAGCCAAGTTGACAGATATTTTTTGGGGACACAATTCAATCCATGACAGAAGGGAAAAGGATTAGGTTATATTTATATTGATACTATTTTTTTTCCCAATCCACATGGTGTAACCAAAAAAAAAAAAAAAAACCATTGCCTTTGAGTTGATTCCAACTTACAGTGAACCTATTATTAAACAAACAAACCCATTGCCATCAAGTCGATCCCAACTCATAGCAACCCTATCAGACAGAGTAGAACTGCCCCATAGAGTTTCCAAGCCTGTGATCTTTATGGAAGCAGACTACCACATCTTTCTCCTGCAAAGCCACTGGCGGTGTTGAACTGCCAGCCTTTTGTTTAACAGCTGAGCGGTTAACCGCTATGCCAGCAGGACTCCGCTCATGAGGTGTAGGGGACAAAAAATAGAACATCAGAACAGGAGCAGAAAGCTACAATCTTATGGGATTGAAATATCAGAAGACGGAGATCTGGGCTGCCGTATCAGCTGCAAATTGAGTAGAGAAATTCCAAGAAGGAGGAAATAGCAGCAGGAGTCTCAAAATCTGCAAGTAAACTTTTTTGAAAAACATGGTTAACACCTGAGCTGCAAAAATTTGGAGAGTAATACAGTTATACAATAAAAATAAATAAATAAATAACTAGATATACCAAAAAAAGAAAAAAAATAGATACCGTGACCAAAAGTCAAAAAACAAAGTAGGCAACAGAAGCAGACCCTGAGAGGACACTAAGATATTTGGACTTTAGAGCTGTTATTTCAAAAATGTTCAGTAACGTAAAGAAAATGGTGGTCATAATTAGTGGACATATGGTAAATTTCAAATAGAAATGAAAAACTTACTCTATTGGATTTAAGGAAAGATTGGAGAAGGAAAAAGAAAGGATCGGTGAATTTTAAGATAGATTAAAAGAAATTATCCAGTTTGAAGCACAGAGAGAAAAAAGACTGCAAACAAAATGAACAGAGTTTCAGCAACATGTGATAAATTTATCAGATAACCTATTATACATATAATTAGAGGTCCATAAAAGTAAGAGGGAGAAAATGGAGTAGAAAAATATTTAAAGAAATGAAATGGCCAAAATTTCCCAAACTTCAGTTAAAAAAAAAAAACCCATAAATTTACAGTTCAAAAAAACTCAGAAAACCCCAAGCAGAATAAATACAAAGAAGATTACATGCAAGCACATAAGGATCAAGCTGCTGAAAACCAAAATATTGTATTACAAAATATTGTAAGCTGAGGAAGGAAAAGTATTGCATGAAGGAGACCATCAGTACAAATTATGGATGACTTATCAGAAATTGTGAAGGCTAGAAGACAATGAAGCAAATCTTTAAAATATTATAAGGGGGGGGAACTATCAACTTATATATCTAGCAAAAATATTCTTAAAAAATTGAGGCAAAAGGTATTTTCAATAAACAAAAGCTGAAAGAACATAATGCTAGAAAACCTGCACATTAAGAAATGCTAATGGAAGTCATTCAGGATGAAGGAAATGGCATAAAATGGAAACTCAGATCTATAGGAATGAAAAAAGAACATGATAAATGGTAAATAGGTTAGTAAATATTTTTTAAAGAACTATTTTTCCTCTTTTAATTTATCTAAATTACAACTGACTATAAGATTAGAAAATTACAATACTGTATTATGGAAATTACAAGTAGATTCATTACACAAAGGGCAGAGTATAAGAAAAATTATTTGTTGCAAGATTCTTATAATCCACGTGAAGTACAGTTTTAACTCTTAAAGTGATTGGAGTTTATTCTGTGAATGCAATATTAGCAAAACATTAAGAATATAATCCCTAAGTCAGCATATTAGCATAATAAAAGAGAAATGACAATTGATCATCTCAGTATATGCAAAAAAAATTATTTGACAAAATTCAACATACACTCACAATAAAAAAAAAAAAAACTCTTAGCAAACTAGGAATATAGGGAACTTCCTTAATATGATAAACGGCATCTAAGAACAATCTATAGCTAACATCATACTTAATGGTTAAACACTAAATTTAAGATTGGAACCAAGGTAAAGATGTCCATACTCACCACTACTATTCAACATTATACTGGAAGTCCTAGCCAGGCATGAATAGGAAATGAAATTCATAATGTTTGGAAAGGAAAAGTTTCAGCTGTCTTTAATTATAGATG